GTCATTCATATTATGTTATCATTATTATAGCCTACTCCAAATTTTATTAAACCGAAACTTTTTGCCCAATTGATCGTGAGCCCGGCAGCCACTGATCAGCGCCAGATCGACGTTGCTCTATCCCTTCTTGTTGAACGCCAAACAAGGTAGCAATAACTTCTATCTTTTAACGTCTTTTTGTATGACGTGGCCGGGGTTCGAACCCACGACCTCCCGGTTGTGAGGCGGACGCTCTACTGACTGAGCCAACACTAACTATAATAATGTATGTATCTTGTTTTCGAGCAAACGCATATCTAAAGCTGTCGGAACGGGACGCTATAGAAGATACCGTCATTCATATTATTTTATCATTATTATCATTCTTAGTAGTGGTAGAAGTAGTAGTAGTATACAATACAAAGGAAATCTTGTACCTCGTTCTAATAACTTTCTTTGTTAAAATCGACTTTTGACCAACTGTTAACATCAGTCACACCTGACAGACCGACACCACACCGACCAAAATAGTACATTACTTATAATGGCCAAGAATCAATCGGTGCAGAGTTTTTGGGAGTATTTATTACTGATGAATGATATGAAATTATTTAATATGTAATTTTCTTATGAAGATGCATCTTCAGAAATGAATTATATCCTGATGTATAATGTTACAATACATTTTATTAAATTTGCTATTAAGACGTAATCTTGGTTCTAGTCAAAAATATTATTGTCAATATTTCTTAAACGTTACTTTTGTTAGTGGGCCTTTTATCAGAAGTGATAATAACAGCGTTATAAACTTTAATGGTATTACTTATTTTGATTACCACAATCAATATCATCGTTCACATTCATAACCTCAAGTTGCATCAACTAGAATTGCAACTATAATAACATTATTAATGCGAGCATCCCTAAGGGACGCTCAATGCGGCCAACAAGTTACTAACATGTTAACACAGTGGGTGGATACGAATTGGATTTGATGTAATTGGTTAAATATACTTGGGACTTGGTAACATTGTTCAGATGAGAGAAAATGGTGCTTAAGGTAGTGACTTAAATGCTAGATGTACAAATAAAGATAATCTGAAAGTTTGAGTAAAAACGGACCATTATTAATGAAAACAATTGGGAAAAGCTGATCTGATCGATTCCTTAATTTTCCCAACTATATTATTACAATTTAGAGGGTGTTGCACAGTGACGCCTTCTTGGATCTTGGATCTTGGATTCTTTTCCTCCTAAATACTCCAAAGAAGAGTTTTGACTGAAGGTGGAGAAGAGTTTTGACTGGAGGTGGACAAAGAAAACCATAAATATCTTTGTGGTTCGAGAATTTTTTTCTGCATTTTTTGCATATCAGAGGGTTAGTGCCATAAAAGGAATATAATAAGTACCATTTCATACAAAAATTACGCAGTTTTTTCATCAACCTTCAACAATAAAGTCGCTGTACATAAGGCATGCACACCATTCAGCAGACAGCCGATCTATCATCCTGTGCGGTGGGACAGGTGATTTCACCTTATATCGTCTCCTTCTAGGGGTCAGGGGTCGTAGATCGCATTGACCCCCATCAGGCTACACTCGTTGGTGTTCGGAAGATTTATCCGCTATCTTTCAAAGGAGTTATCACAGACGTCATTTTCACCATAGGGATAAAGATGAAAAGGGTGCCCTAATTGTTCTTTTGAATGGAGTCATCGTGAGGGTAACGGGTACTTTGTCAAATAGACGTACCGGGGTGATAAGATGGAAGCGTAGGCCACCCAGTCTGGGATGACAGCGCTCGAAAGCTCTCCAGTTAAAGACCTTATCCGATGAAAATACTACTTTATATCAATGGAAAGCTGAATGAACGTAGAATACAAAAAACAAAGGAATAAAAATGACTTTCTCTTCCATTTAATATCGCACAAAAGCAAATTAGAATCTCATTTTCCGCAGCCCACTAAATTACGGGTCTACAGAGGTCAAATTTGCCGACGCTAAGGCGACGACATATCATGTGGACCCATAATGAGAAGTGCTTAATTAATGCAAAGTCATCGTGAATATTGTGTACTCCACATAAATTGATGTCATCAAGTCGATAGCTTTAGATTTCGAGTTTTTCAGAGAGCTGTTACTCCCCTGACAGGCACTAAAATGGCGTATAATGGATATTATTGTAATCTCTGGCTTATAAGCTTTAGGTTGATATAACAAATTATAATTCATCTATTTCATTTTTCAATTCTGACAGGGATGGAGGCTTCTCTGTCTCTCTCTCTGTCTCTCTCTCTCTCCCCCTTTTTTTCCATATTTGTATAAGTGTATCTACCTACATCAGTTCTATCTGTATCTATTGTTCTATGTCAGTCTCTCTCTTTCTCTCTCTATCTCTGTTTGACTATCTGCCTGCTCCCTTCTCTCTCTCCCTGTGAATATGTAGGTGTGTGTTGTGTGTTTTGTGTGTGTCTTAGTGAATATGTCTCTCAGAAACTCTCGGGGTCTCCAGACTCCAGACAATGAACGCAGCTTTAGTTCTGTCCTTTCTTCTTTCTTTTTAAAATCTGTTTCTGTTTTCATTTCTTGAGCTTTCTTACAAAGTCCCCGCCACATCTCGTTTTGTTTATTTATTTTCGCTCTATCTCGTTCTCTGTATCTGTGTACCTGTATTTATATTTGTACAACTATTTCTGCCTGTCTCAATCTCTATCTCCTTCGGAATCCGTACTCTCTCTCTTTCTTTTCTTTTTCTCAATCTCTCAATTTTTCTGTTTCTAGGTAACTCTGCTCGAGTTGTCTCTCTCATGGTCTCTTTCCCCTGAATTCTTTGTATATCTATCTATAGATACACCTCTCACCCTCTCTCTCTCTCTCTCTCTCTCTTTCTCTCTCTCTCTTTATATCTCCGTTGATCTCTCTTTTCTCCACTCCCTCTCTGTCTCGGTCTCTCCCAGTAGCAAAAACGTGGTAATATTCGTACTGCATTTAAACAGAAACGGATCCCCGGGCGTATGCAAGATTATCACAAAATCTTTAACAAAAACTATACATAAATTTTGCTCTTTTTAACGTTCGCCACGAAGAAAAGTTAGCGTGTTTTTAAGTACTAGCATCGTTTCACTCCTGACGTTCTTTACTTTCACTGCGATGTATCTTACTCAGGACAATTCGTGAAGATCCAGCGACGATTGTGATCTAATTAATCTATCGTACTTGGCTATCGAATTTGCAAAGTAAGACGCGAAATAGAGTATTTTATTATGCAGATAGATTTCAGAAGGAGGGTGAATTTTCCTCCGAGTAGGCTTAAAATTGATAAATAGAGTACTTTTATTATGCAGATTTCGTTTGTTACTTTTGAACGACGGGTTTGATTTATTTCGTGTTATTTATAAAGACCTACCAGAATCTTATAGATATGGTAAATCCGATAAACTTTCTGGAAATTGTTTCACTTGACTAAGAGACTGGGTTGGTTATGATAGTGTTTGAAATTTAATCGTGTGCAGCCAGTTGATCTATGTTTGAATTAGGTCACAGTTATCATGATAAAGCCAGAGAAATGACTTCGTAATCAAACCAAGACTAGATCGTGGTACAAATTGAAAGCTTAAAGGCGTTTGCAATCGGGAACCAATTTAAAAAAATGAGGCTTTGAGAAGATACAAAAATTGTCAAATAATGAAAAGTCATGTTTAAAGTAAAATGATAAGAAAACGAGATACTGTATGCAAAACGCTTGGTATTTTCTAGCCGCGAAAGACCGACCTTCTGCTTTAATTGTTTCGTGATCTCTGCCAAGACTATTAAGTCTATACAACAAATCACAGTGTCCATACAATTAACAAAATCTGACTTCATTTCGTTGTTTATGTGAGAGTGACACAATTATAGCTTATAATATTCCTATCAACGTGCGAGGGAAATGATACCCTTTTCCTTCACCCATTAATGAAAATTTATCTTTTAAGTGATGGGGCTAACTAAAGCAGCCTTTCTACTTCAGCCTCCTATGTTTTCCTTCACTGTTACAATTTTCCGTCATAAAATCATGTATCCAAAACGGACAAAAGAGAAAACTCGAATAGAAGTTGTACCAAAAGAAATTAGAGAAAAAGACATGTGAACACTTGGTATTGTACTTGTAATCTCTTGTATCATGACACCAAAATCATTCTTCAAATTCTAAGGCTAACCGTAATGTTAAGAGTCATTTTCAGTCCATTAGGAAAAAACCACCCACCCACCACACACATATACACACGCACACACCCACACATTATATCTACCCACCTTTGTCTGTAGTTTGAATATTATTGAAAATAGGCAAATATAAAGGGACTTTCCCTTTCTATTTCACGAGAAGCCGTACTGTGAATGACATCATGGTTTTGTATCTATTTCCAAGATTGTCCTATTGGACGAAGAGATGGAATAGTGGTTCGGATCAATGCTGGTTCCACCAGAATTAGGGATGGGGCTTCATCAAATGGCATAAGATAAATGGCGGCTTTGCCTATAGTCCGCGGTCAGCTAGCCGGGTAATGTGTTTTAGGCTTGTGTAACAAGGTTGAACTGAATATCTGTCCTAATTTGATTAATTTAAAGGGGAAGTGATAGGATTATGAACTATGTAATATAAACATACAAACGGCACTTCGCAGCTAAAGATATATGAGGAAATCGTATTTTGTAATTTAACAGGTAGGCCTACAACGGGAAAGATTTATGAACCGATAAATGTAGCCTTAATGATTATGTTATGAAAAAGAGATTTTGATAACTTAGATTAAAAACGTATGGGCATACAAATACCTGTAGAATACATACTGCATTTTTTCTTTATACTGTCTTTCTTTTTGTGTTCCATCAGTCGTTATCCTCATTCAGACAGCAGGGTCAAAGTAAATGTATGATGTGAGTGTAATGTAAAGGTGTTATAAGGAAGCATGTTTGTCAGGAGCAAGAATAATATTGAACGCTTTTGTTTTCTACCTTCTCTCTTTCAAACTATACAGGCGACAAACAGCAGAGGAACGTGAGGCTGAACGACAAGCCGCAGCTCGTTTCATGTTTTCTCTCCAGCATGAAATGATGATGAAGAACATGCAGGACCCACCTCCACCAGACCCTCTTTGTGTACATAACGCTTCTCTAAATGCCCTTCAGAACTTACAGCCTTGGGCTGCCGATATGCACGGTGGAAACATCGCGAGCAGTTCCACAAACACCTCTCAAACATCTGCCTCAGCCTCTGGGGCGCCCTCAACCTGTTCAGCCTCAGCCAGCGCAGGAGCGCTGGTGCACTCCCCAACAGCTAGCTCTTCGGGGTCAGTAGATAGCGCTTCTGCTGGCTATTCCCAAGAAAGCTCGTCTGATGAAGAAAGAGGGCCAGGATTAGCTGGTGCATCCCTACGACGTGTATCTTTGAAAAAGAACAAGCGAAGTCGTTCCTGCGAAACAGACCTCTGTACCTCAACTCGAGATATCCCATCCAGCAGCCACATGGATGAGAGTGCTGAAGCTCTCTCCGATACTGGATCTAAAATTGAAGACGACTATGATGATAGCACCATGCTCTACGACACCGACTGAAGGACGTGCTATGAAAAAAGAAAATTGTTGCAAGGTTTGAAGTCCAATTCAAGAACAATGAACCCAATGATAAAAGAGATAAAAACACCAGGTCAGGCATTGAAATGCAAGTACGATCATGTATTGTTGAGACTCTAAATGTAACAGATTCGTCCCAAATGATGCACAGTAGATTTCCAAGAGGAGCATAAAAAACAATGCCATATTCTTACAGGTGGACAAAAGAAAACTTGTCATTCTCTGTGTATCAAAGTTTAGAACGCTTTATTACATAATGCTGAAATACTGTGTCACACTGCATGACTTTTTTCATGGTCTTGTTGTTGTAGTTGTTGTTGTTCTTCTTCTTCTTCTTTCTTCTTCTCAGTCTACTTTTGTTGTTTGAGAATCCAGTATCCTGGTAATTCATGCAGGTCTGGAATCTTATCATTTTGTTATCCTACTTGTGACGAATTTATACTATGGTATACATTAACATATATTATATCAAGTTTTAAACAGTTGATAGTAGATCCTACTGGACATGAAAGTGCAATTTAACTCCTGAATTCTAGACGGGCACGTTCGATGGAAGTGGTTATTATTCTGTCAGATGATGGATCTGTTGAAAAAAACAGTCGATTTTAAATACTTCTCGTGCCATGTCTTAATTGTTCAATGATTGTTCACCCGTTTAGTAACTTACAATGTTTACTCGTGAGGTAGCTCTCAAAATTATGTTTGTAATTCTTGACGCAGTACCGGACAACCCTTGACCTCAGTAGAGTTTGAGGGTCTGGAAAGACAGCCTTTACATTTCGATTGTGCGAGCAGATAATCTTCTCGAGGTTCGTGTAATTGATTTTGAAATGTATTAGTCTTGTTCGATTGCACTTCACCTATTATTGGTAATACTCTTCATATTACACGGATTTTCCTTACGAGTCCTTACGAATCGCCAACTCGTAGTCAATCGCAAGCATCCGTAAGGATCCGTGAAAGGAGAGGCAATTTTTTTGACATGTCAAAAATCTTCTTACGATTGTCCACGGATTTATTTTTCCATGAATAACTCGTAAATAGCTCGTAACAATCCGTAAATATCGTAAACCGCTCGCAACCACACATAACGATCGGTAAACTGCTCGCAAAAATCCGTAAATGACTCGTAAGAAAAATTTTAACAATTTGTTAGGGTTAGTTTACGATTTGTTTACGGATTATTTACGGATTATTACGAGTGCTTACGTGTTATTTACGATTTCATTCGGGTCGTAATACGATGGCTTTACGGATTGTTACGGGTTATTACGAGCACTTTACGTACAGTTACGAGTACTTTCCGAATAGATACGTGTATGTGAAGGGGGTTTGAGTGGTAAAGGTGTCGAAGGGAATGAAATATGACATCCCGCATGACCATTTAAAGATCGTAAAACTCAAAAAATGAAGAAAAATAAACAAATGAAAACGGAGTGAATACTGTATGCTTGGTTGTGTTTCATTAAGTTTGCAGGGCAATAATAATGAAGTTATTAAGTAACATTAATATGATTAATACATGAATATATTGATGTTCTGAAAGGAATTCTAACCGCCAAAAGGGGTTGAATTTATTATAAATCGAACCGAATCAAAGTGTTTTTAAAATGCCGTCTGGTATGATGAAAAGATGAGATTTTCCCATTTATTTTTAGTGAAAAATAAGAGGCTTAATTTCATACCATTTTGTATTTCATTCCGTTCTACTTCGAATCTAACGCGTTTTTTTGTATAATGCGTAACGCGAAGGGCATTTTTCATAAGATAGGTATATTCATAAATGCACTTAAAACATTGGGGAGCTCTCATGTCTGAATTTCTTTTGTCAAAACACAATATAGTGTTTCTGTTTGTTTAGATTCACTCTGTGGGCAGTATGCGTGTACCTGGTAAGCCCCGATCATTATCATTTACCTTTATTACACAATCTAATTATTAGATTATTTTCTTTTTCTTTACACCCTTTAAAATGAAATAGATTTAAATTTAAAAGCCATCAATTGTATTTGGCTATTTGGACCCTTCAGTATTCACATCTTTTACTTGCAGCAGTATCAGAACACAGTCATAGTAGTTTTAGTCGTAGTAGTAGTAGTAGAAGTAGAAAATATCAGCAGCAGTAGTATTAGTAGTAGGAAGGGGATGAGGATTGTTAGTAGGAGTAGAAGAAATAGCACTAGTAGAAGTAACAGTAGTAGTAGTAGTAGTAGTAGTAGTAGTAGTAGAAGTAGTAGTAGCAGAAGTAGCAGTAGTAGTAGTGGTGGTAGTAGTAGGAGTAGTAGTAGTAGTAGTAGTAGTAGTAGTAGAAGTAGTAGTAGACAGTATAATATGTTGTATTCTTGGCGAAACAGGTCTTGGTAGTTAAGATGAGCACTTCACAATTAGTAGAAGTTGCGTTATAGAAGCAGTAGAAAGTAGCATTCACTAGTGGCGTAGCCAAGATTTCTTCTTTATTCTACAATGATCAAATGTGGGGGTCATCACATTTGCGGATGCTGAGAATTGTTGTGGTATAGCAGCAAATTTTGACTAATTTATTACAGAGTTTATATTTCATTGTTTTGTATTTTTAGATAACTTTCCCTCGGGGTACCTATATATCTACCCTGAGCCTACGCTGATGGCAGCAGCATTTGCCGAAGCGATTGATATAATACATTGCGTCCCAGAAAAAACGAAACCGAGAAGTATCGATGTTCTGTCATAACTTTATCACAACTATAATTAATGAATGATACATATTAGGAAAGCTTAGAGTCTCCTCTTTCATGTGATGCTACTCAGATAATGCATTTTTCACGCATGAGTGATTAAAAGCAATTTGAAGGAACGAAACCACAAAGATATCTGAATTTCGAAGAAAAATTCACATTTCTAGAAAGTTGAGTTTCTGCCCTTTTCATATGACACCTCAACCAGGAAAAATGAAAGAGGAATGACAAAGTTCTGTTTTTTTAAAGTAGTGCTTGCATTTCCATAATTTTATTAAACGAATTCGTTTTCACTGGCTGCCTGCCGTATCAATAAACGAAATTAACAAAAGACTTAACTCCGTTTCGTTGACAATCAGCCGTAGACGAGAGTCTTCATGCATGGCTTATTGTCCACGAAACGGAGTTAAGTCTTTAGTCAAATCTGCTTTTTGCTACGGCAGGCACCCAATGAAAACGAATTCGTTTCTTAAAATTATGAAAATTTAAGGGCTACTTTAAACAAATAGAACTTTGTTATTCCTGGCTCATTTTTCTTGATTGAGGTATCATATGAAAGAGCAGAAAATGCACTTTTTAGAAATATGAATTTTTCTTTGAAATTCAGATACCGCCCGCCAAATTATTTTTGGTTTCCTTCCTTCAAATTGCTCTTAATCACTCATGCGTATAATATGCATCACGTGAGTAGCATCAACTGAAAGAGGAGACTCTAAGCTTTCCAAAATGTATCATTCATTAATTATGGTTGTGATTAAGTTATGATAAAACATCGATACTTCTCGGTTTCGTTTTTTCTGGGACGCACTGTATATTTACACCCTGTATATAGAAATGGTGAGGTTTGTGTCAGGCGATTGCTCCTGTTATTGCCTCATGCATGTTGCAAATTTACGGAATATGTTATACGAAATATCTTATTTGCAAAGTCCATTCTGTAATCTTTCCTCTACCTTTTCATTTCGCCATTTTTCCCTAAATCTATCCGCAATTAAAGAAAAATGAAAGGAAAATCGCTCCCAAAGTTCAATTTGCATGTAAACCTCTTTACTTTTTTTAAATTTTATTTACAAACTTTAGTATACTGGAAGATGCGATTATATTTCAGATTGTTCCAAATCGTAAATCTGTCTGCCACACATATTGAAAAAAGAAGAAGAGAACAATTTCGAGAGTTGCTTTATTTTTCTTTCAAGAACGGGCTTATTAGTTGGATGATGTCAAAACTATTTCATTTTGATAATTCGAAACTACGATGTCATAACGTGACATACTGTGCCTTGTAACATTGATCTGTTGGGTATGATAACTACAAGAATTTTCCAGAAAGAAAAATATATGGAAATAAATTATTTCATCTGTCCTGAGCGGTTAAAATATATATTAATGCATGAAGTCTTGTTAACGAGAAAAGGGGAATTCATTTCATAACCTCGTTTATAAGTAACATAGGTGATACTTTCGTCATCTCATATGCTATCCGATAATCATATTTAGAAGAAATTTCACCTATTTCATTTTTTTATAGTACATATTTCTGAACCTTGTCAACTGTCCGGTGCGTTATATGGAAGCATTGTGGTATATTGGAGTAGGCCCTTGACTTTCATACAAGAGGTTCTGGGTTCGATAATCCTTGGGCACGGTGCTTTACTTACAGTTATCTCTCTAGGTCGAGATATATTGAATAGGTACCTAGTAATGCTGAGGTATTTGCACGGCCTTGAAGAAGAACAGTATTTGGTGAGGCAACCGTGGGCATATTGTTATTATTATTACTATTATTTTTATTGATGATATTATTATAATTATCGTCATTATGATTATCATTATTATTATCATCATCATCATTAATAATTATTATCATCTTCATCATCATTATCTTGTCACGAACACTTCATTCAAATGTACAAATATTGTCATGTATTGGAAAATGAGCCTTTTAATGAAGTAATTTTGTACTTTCTCATTATAACTGTGCTGTAAAAAAAATATATCGAAAATGTTTGACTTTATGTTAAGCGTAAAAGTACCCTAGAGGAATCTTCTTTTGTTAAACGGTTACTGTACGTGATTCTAATTACCTCCAGAGAAAACACATTTTTTGTCATGACTTGCTATTTATGAATTTCTTATTTGTAACTTATTAATTATTTTGAGTGGTCTGTCGGGGAAGTGCAATCACATAGCTGTATCTGTATATAAAGTGAGTATATGAAATTACAACAATGAAGAAAAAACAGCATCTGATGTTTTAATTTTTGTTAA